AACGATTCGAAAAAGGCAGCCATGATTGTTAGTTGGTCGGCTTGAGTCGGCTTGAGCAGGTGAGTGATTGTAAGTTCAAAATCTATTGGGTGTGTGCAAGATGAATCGAGGGCAACGTGTTCTCGACTCGACTTGCAGCTCAGGCGGCGGTCTCGAAGCTCCGTAGTGTCGTTGCTGCAGAGCGGTGAGACGTGGGGTGGACTTGGCAGGAGGTGCGGGGCGCCTGCAGCTGGACGCGCAGTCAGGTCAGGGTCCGAGGGGAGAAGGGAGGGGTAGTTGCCAGGTGAGCTGGATTACCCTCTTTGGGAGCTTTGCGCATCATCACGTCGTCGTCGCTCTAGCATGCGATGTCGGCTGTGCCATGGAAATGTTTCCGAACAAGTGCGATAGAAACTGTGGAAAAGCGTCTCCCGCGTCTACCTGACCTCCTCCCGAGGCCCGCGTGCCCGACATTCATCTTCTTCTTTTTCTCCTACAGGAGACAAACATTGAGAACCTCTTCAGGCCAGTTCAGTAACAAATCCAAATATGCCCTCTCACATCCGCGAACATAGCCGCATCTACCAGATAGCTTCAATCCCAGGTGATGGCATAGGCGTAGACATTACCGAGGCCGCCGTCCAAGTTCTCAACACGCTTTCTGCAACTCTGCGTACATTTCAGTTTGATTTCAAGACCTTCGACTGGAGCAGTGACAAGTACTTGGAGCGAGGATGGTATATGGAACCCGATGGACTCGAACAGTTGAAGAAGCATGACGCAATATATTTTGGCGCCGTGGGATCTCCGGGTACGCATGTTTCGTGTCAAACTGGTTGACTGGTCAACGACTGACCGCGCGTAGAGGTTCCCGACCATATCTCGTTGTGGGGGTTGATCCTGCCCATCCGTAAAGCATTGAACCAGTACGTGAATGTCCGACCCACGCGCATACTTCCAGGCACCAAATCTCCACTCGAGAATGTAAAAAACGAGGATCTCGACTGGGTCATCGTCCGCGAGAACAGCGAGGGCGAGTACTCAGGTCAGGGTGGAACATCTCATGAACACTCCGACCACGCCGTCGCAACCGAAGTGTCCATATTCACCCAGGTTGGAATCGAACGGATAATGCACTTTGCCTTTGAGACGGCCAAGTCGAGACCCAGGAAGAAGCTGACAATGGTGACCAAGTCCAACGCTCAACGCCATGGAATGGTGCTTTGGGATAAGGTGTTTTACGAAGTTGCAAAGCAGTATCCTGAGGTGGAAATAGACAAGATGCTCGTGGATGCAATGACGGTCCGCATGGTGCTGCATCCCAAATCCATGGACACGATAGTCGCCACAAATCTGCATGCCGACATCTTGTCCGATCTGGCTGCTGCTTTGTCGGGTAGTATAGGTATCGCGCCGTCAAGTAATCTGGATCCAACGCGGAAGAACCCCAGCATGTTCGAGCCGATTCATGGCTCGGCGCCTGATATTGCAGGCAAGGGCATTGCAAACCCGGTGGGAGCATTTTGGAGCGCGGCCGAAATGGTTCGATGGCTGGGCGAAGAAGCTGCAGCAGATGCGCTGATGAAGGCCATTGAGAACGTTACAGCAGCAGGAGTCAAGACGAAAGACCTCGGGGGTGACAAGAACACCAAGGAGGTGACGGAAGCCGTCTGCGCAGAGATCCAGAAGCTGCAGTAGCCGTAAACTTGGGTATTTCTCGCCAGTGCCGATCTCACAGATACAAATACACATACCTTTCTACCCTCAACTCAACTTCATCTTCGCTTCAATCCTGAAACATCGGGTCAAGCCGCGCGCCGTTCCCCTCCACAACTCTCGCACCCTTTCCCTTTTCCCTCTTATCCTCAATTTTCCGATACCACCTGAACCACCCCCTCCAAACCCGCACTGCCTTCCCCTCAATCAGCCCCTGGCTAATCGGCCCAAAGTCATTCGAATCACTGCTGTTCCTCCAGTTATCCCCTTCAACCCACACATGCCCATACGGCACCACCACAACCCCCTTCCCCTCCCTCCCCTCCTCAATCCCGTCCATAATGCCCAACCTCTCCCCCCCGTTCCCCTCAACCGCATATCCGCGCTTCGGATACACTTTGTCGCCGGCCACCGCAACAATCCTCTTGATCCCAATCTCCCTCGGATTATGCGGCTTCCAGAACGTGACAATATCACCGCGCGTGACTTGCTGTACCGTACGCAGCCCTCGCCGTATCCAAATGCGATCCATCTGCCCCGTCTCGTGTGCGCGCGCCGAGAGTGTGGGCGCCATGCTCGAGCCGCGCACAATGTCCAGGGACCCGAATTGGTCGCGCAATGTGTAGAATACCGCTGTGCTGAAGATGAGCGTTTTGCCAATGTTCCATGCTGAGCGAAAGGGTCGGGGCGCGGGGGATCCTGAGGGAGGCCCGGAGGGGGGAGTTCTTGACTGCGCGGGTTTTCGAGGGATGCGGGGAGGTGGTTTGAGGGATATTCGAGCTGATGGTTTAGGAGGCATATCAGACTTCTGAGCAGGATAAATAGATGAGCCAGGAAATTGTATGGGGAGAGTTCGGAAAGAATATCGAGTACGAAGCTTGAGTCGCGCAAATATCCGCCGCAAAGCTCGGACATTTACGCTGTCACGTGGCATTTTCTTAAATTCGGCACGATCTCAAGCTTTCCTTGTCTGCCTGGAGGATCGAACGTAGAGCACTCTTTGGTGACAATCGCGTTGATAGAAAAGTTCTTGGGAGTGTAGTCGATGCGCAGGCACAGCTAGCAAAGGGTAACACATATTGAACATCTACTACATCATATGGCAAGCATATCGTACAGATACAGACTGGTACATATAGACAAAATGCATCGCTGCCGTCCTGTCATCCCAATGCTCGTCAATTCAAGGAATCTATTTCAATGCTTTAATAACCGCGTCCGCATATTCGTAAGTCTTGGCTTTACCGCCTAGGTCACCGGTAATTGTCTACAGATGTTAGCTTTGACTCCAGGATTAGGAGTTTGTTGATCCTCACTTTGCCCTCCGCAATCACCTTGAAGATGGCCCGCTGGATGTTGTTGGCATGGTCGTTCAGACCCATGTGCTGCAACATCATCATGGAGCTTAGTAGCAGAGCAGTGGGGTTTGCGAGCTGCTTCCCAGCAATGTCGGGTGCAGATCCATGGACAGCCTCGAAAATGGAGCACTCGTCGCCAATGTTTCCAGAGGGTGTAAGGCCGAGGCCACCAATCAGACCAGCGCACATGTCAGACAGGATATCTCCATAGAGATTGGGCATGACCAAGACTTTGTCGTTGTACGGTAGCGGGTCCGTAACCATCTTCAGGCAAGTGTTGTCCAGCAGCTCGGCGTCGAACTCAATGTTGGGGAACTCCTTTGCGATTTCGCGGGCGATGCTCAAGAAGAGACCGTCCGACATCTTCATGATGGTGGCTTTGTGAACAGCGCGGACCTTCTTCCTCCCGATTTCAGTCGCATGCTGGAAGGCGAATCGCAGCACGCGCTCGCAGGCATCGCGCGTGATGAGCTTGATGCTCTGGACAACGCCGTCGACCACCACGTGCTCGATACCAGAGTATTCTCCCTCGGTGTTTTCACGGATCAGTACGGTATCGACGTTGTCATAGGGTGTCTTGTAGCCTGCGATGGACTTGCACGGTCGAACGTTGGCGAAGAGGTTAAAAGTGCGGCGGAGAGTGAGGTTGAGGGACACATGGCCTTTGCCCACAGGAGTCTGTCGAGTCAGTCAAGTTGCAATGTGTGGATAAAGTCTCGTACAGCAAGAGGTCCCTTGAGCGCAACATAGTTCTTCGTGACGCTATCAATAGCCTCGTCTGGAATCACAGTCTTGCCGTCCTTTAGTCGCGGCGTGACATCGACGGATTCCCACTTGATTGGCACCTTTGCGTGTGTTAGTAGCGAACAAAGTCAACACCAACGGGAGGTTTTCGTACGTTGGCTGCCGAGTATATGTCCTTTACAGATTGCGCGATTTCTGGTCCGATGCCGTCTCCCTCGATGAAGGTGACGGTATATTTACCCTGCGGAATTGACCCTCGTCAGCTCTCCAGTCTTTTCTGAGTCCATTGACCAGCAGGCCCAGTCGTCGGTGTTATCGGAAGCTCACATCGTTGCCCTTGGTGCCTTTGAACTTGGCGACTTTATCTTCCTCGGCAATGGCGGCGTAGAATCGTGATTGGGACTATAGCACAGTCGTACAGTTAGCTGACACTCTTTGCATAGCAATTGGAAGGCTGCATAGCCTTTCCTTGCATTGGAGGCGGCCAACTCTCACCTGCGCAAGCGCGGGAGCCCATCTCGAAGTTCCGTTGGCGCGACGCAGGCATTGCCGCGCTGGGGCGGCAAACGAGCGACAGGCCAGCATTTTGATGGTTGGAGGCTATCCCGGATACTCAATTGCAGCTGCGCTACAGGTCGTAGCTCGGTATGGGGCTCGAGGGGTGGATGGGTGGAGATGTTGCTGCGAGAAAAGCAACCTGAAGCTCCGCCGCCATTACCCAATCGTGCATGGGCCATGCCCAGACCAGGCTTTTTGTCGCGCAAAACTTAAGCTTGATATCCTTGACCCCCGGATCAACCGATCCTTTTGCAGCTGTCTTTGGCAAGCTCGCAGCATGTGATTTTGCAATTATGTAGCCTTGAACCTGCCTTGCAGTCTCAAAGATACGCTGTCATACTTAATCCTATATCTAACGAAGAAGCAGAAAACACTTTGCTCACTCAAACTCCTCTTATCCAGCTCAATCTCACATGTTCCCGTTAACACAAACACGTGCACACAGGCAGCTTGTCTAATGCCCCTGTAGCAGGCGCTAATCGCCACAGATCGAAGATGGATCGAACTTGCAGGCATCGTTCTAGAAGTGTAGCGTGTGCAAGTAGCTTGAGTAAAAAATGTGTGAGGATAGTGAACTTGAGTCTTTTGCGTGACCAAAAAAGAGTTCCTTCCATCCACCGACAACCTCCAAAAAGAATTGGATGTTGACAAGAGGGGGATTCGAACCCCCGCGGGCAAAGCCCATGAGAATACAGCCTCTGTTGAGGCAAGCTTTCGCTTGAGTCACACGCCATAACCACTCGGCCATCTTGTCGAGGCAATATAATTATTTAAGAGCGTATCCAAATATATATAGAAGTAAAACTGACCAAGAGAAAGAACCGGGTGTCAAAGCGGGGCAGTTAAGCGTGCTGGTCTAAGCGCGCCCATCATACTCACATGACAATTATTTTCACATGCTTAAATTCCCCGCCCGCCGCACCGAAACGGTTATATACGTAAACTATACGTGGATCAAACGAGTGCGGAACACGGCTTAATGCTGTACAGCTGCATTTTCAGTTCGCGCAACCGGATTATTTGTTTGGGCGGTTGTAGTTATGGGCATTCAATAACGGTTCAATGATTTATTTTATGGAGGGGGCATGCTGGCCACAACCGAATCTGACCTCAAGCGCTTGCATTGGCAGCTCTTTATGTGTTGTGCCATCAACGATGCAAGCTACAATTTATACGAAATCATCCTTCAATCGACGAATATATAAGCCGAACCATGCCAACATAGCGGCAGCAGCGAGAGCACAAAGTTCCGCCTCCAGAATCATGGAGAACCGTCTTTTCTACCCTCGCTGTCCAACCAACCGTCAGCGAAGTTCCGACATTAATTTTTGCAACCCAGATAAATTTTGACAGTTCTCTCTCCATGTACTCCATTCCCAATTATGTATCAAGCTCAGGTAAGACCAAACAGAAAGTCAGATTCAATCTTCCAGCTTCTTTATCTTCCGAATGCGAATTCAATTACCAATATTCCTTGGGAAGGAGCTTTTTTCGGTCCTCCTGTGGCCACTTGGACGATTCCCAAATTTTCAAGCTCGTCTCGAGTTGTGTCTTTCTCGTCTTTTCCGTCGGTGTCAATCTTTTGAACCGTTTGTTCCATTTGCTCAGTGGTTCCAATTCTTCCTTGAGCTGTTCTGTGTAAAGTTTTCCTACTTTGGTATGGCTCAACGGAAGTTCGTCTAGCACCAGTTCGCACAGCAAATCCAGGAAGACAAGTCCGCCGTGATTCCGAGCATCTTGAAGAATCTCATGTACGAGGATGTCATCTGGCCTAATATGACAGCTCTTCCCGGCCAACGTTTGGATATAGACATTTGCTAATACGTTTATATCATCGCGGCTCTCTCGGATGATTCCTGCGAACCCCTTCCCACATCTGGTACATGCCTTGAGTTATCTCCCGGCTTGAAATTTTGTGAAACTTACGAATTCATGAGGAATTTCGCTGTCTTCTTGAGTTTCTCTGGCCTTATACTTGAAGCCCAAGGGATGTCCATGAAATATCCTTCGCCTACATCATTTCGCAGACCGACTGTTGTCGTATCTGGAATTAATGTTTGATTTATATCGCCGGAATGGTTCCATATCGTCCGTCTAGGATAAATGAGCGTGAGTACCGAGGATAGAGACCATAACAATCACCCGATAAAATATTCTTGACCCTCTATGGGCTGGCATGATACAAGTAAGTTCTTGAAATTACACATTTGGTATTTAGGAACGCTCTCCCAGTTAACTCGAGGAGCAGAACCAAGGAAAAATCCAATTCCCACGTAACTACTGGCAAGGACACGAAGTTTGTGCAAAGCCACTTCGCGAAAACCATCACGGCGCGGATGCGGGGCTCTATCCAATGAAGAGCTTGATTGAGTCAGCTGAAATGCATGATGAAATAGAATCACGCCAAACATTTTCAGCTGAGCAGGCAGCCGTATTTTTCTCCAATCACAACTTGTTGAGCAGTCAAGCTAGCCAAGGGACTCTGCACGGTAATCTAGCCACCATAGCCTCCCTTCCTTTGGACGAATCAAGCAACCCGAGCTCATTTGTCTTTTCGGCACAGAAATCGAGTCCGCACTTACAAATTGATCTAGCTGGATAGATGAGCCTCGACTTCTTTCTTTTCGACCCGGGATGCGAACCCAAGGCTAACGAAATTTTCGACGAGATTTCAGAAGCCTATCTAATACACAACATATCCAAAAGCGTAAATTGACACTCTGTTTCTTCCAGAGCACACAAACACACTGGAGAGCGGTTACCACTGCGCTTGAAAGCCCCCATTTAACATGCGGCCTCTCGACGAGCTGGGACAAACTGTTGAAAAATGGTGGGACACGATTAATTTGCGCGACCAATTTGAGCTGTTATTTAGATCAGCTCTGGAGGAACAGACAAAGCCTGATCGCGGACGCGCTGCACTCATCGACTATTCGGAGGGCGGCGAAGGTTCCCCCAAAATCTTTACCTCGCACTTGGACTTGAAGAATCAACTTAATGGAATTCAGGACATCTTGTTTGGACATGCAAAGGGACGATACTTGATCATCCTAGAAGACTTGTCTCGCAACTGGGTTGAGCTCCTCGGCCCAGCACTTAGAATTCCCATCTCAGTTTTTGCTCTACACATGGCCAGTCCCGAAGACCATATACTTGGGCGTGCTCGAGTCCCTTTGGGTGAATCGCCCGGGCGACACTTCGTCTTGAGCTATCAACAGCCAACAAAGCTAGAGATTGCACCAAAGTCCAAAGGTACTCCTTACCTGGAACATTTGACGGTCGGCAACGTACTAACGCATCATTTAAGACAAAGTGTACCGAATTGATTGCGCAGCAAATCGGCTGATCAACACGAAGATCAAAGTAGACAGAATGACTGGTCCAGAAACTGCAGAGCAGCTTGTCTCCTACTGGGGAAGACAAAGTCTCGCTTCAGATGCCAACACCGTAGGCTCTTCGTATGAGTCGTGGATCGGTCAGCATGGAAAATTTATTCGAGCTCATCAATTCCGCTGACAAAGACAGCAATTATGTTGGTGGATCCATGCCCAACGCGAGATTTGGGCTTGAAGAAATCCGCGCCGTCACCTGTGCCCCAGAAGGACGAGGAGGACGAAGATGACGATGAAGATAATGATGTGAATGGCCCCACGCTTATCACCCGCCGTTACCAACATCCCCCACGTCTAAGTCGATTGAATAAGGCTCCCAACGTTGGTAAGGTATCATAGACTTGGAATGTACAATTCAACTGACCTTTGATAGGAGTTGTAAATGAAGATAGGTGGAGCCGTGATGATCACGACAAGATCAGTAAGGTGGGGCCGAGATCGAGTCGCAATGAAAACCCCGGAATTTGGCCAAAGATAACCAGATTCAATTCTCCCGAGTCTTTCTTCGATGAGCTTCTGGAGCCTGATTGCGTCCACATCACCAAGTTGCCCTCGAGCTCGACGTATCGCTGCAGGCGCCTAGTCCTTGCCAAAGCAGTAGCTGTCGTTAACAATGCAATGATGGAGACGTTGAATCTCACAAAGCAGGCAGCTTCAGGTGTCCAGGACATTTCCCAATTCAATTTTGACAAATTCGATGACCGGTCGTGGAGCGATGAATGGAGGGGAAAGTTCTTCACTGATCTATGGGAGCTCAGGGAAGATTTGGAGCTCATGGGCCTCAAGTTTCGGCAAAATAAGAAAGTCATTGCGCGAGTTGCGAAGCTAGCTAAGAATAAAGAAAGTGGTCAGCAAAGTCAAGATCTGTTGGAGTGGGAAAATGTACTCGACACGAAAGACTACGCCTTCCAAATCATGGCGCGAACTACCGACTCGTACTTGCAGACCGTGTCTGCGACAGGTGCTCAGTTCGCCAACCTCCAGTCTCGCAGGTCAGTCAAAACATTCCAACGCGGGCCTTTACTAACACCAAACTCAGCATCAATCGTTTGACAGGGTACGAGCTTCTCAAGGCATTGCGAATCCTCTAATGAATGCGCAGGCTTGCTTCGCTTTTCTTCCCCGCTAGCCTCTGCGCAGCAGTATTGTAAGCCCCGCTGACTCTAAACAGCAATGAGCCAATGAAAACTGACTTGGCAGGGCAATACCGTCGTTCTCACATGCTGGTGAGGCCACCAAGTTCTGGTACGGCATTATTTCTTCATCGTACGCCTTTCCCTTCTGGGTTGCTACTAACACTGGCCGTAGGATCTTTTGGGTCTTTTCTGTACCAGTCTCCATCATTCTCGCTCTGCTACTTATCAGTCCGTTTCCAGCCAGGCTGAGAAAGCAGTTTGCAAAACGTCGGGAGAAGAAGGCAAGAGAGAATCGCATGCGTCGAGTGAAGGAGGCAGACGAGAATCGCAGGCGTCGAGTGCCCAGTCGAGAGAACGAACTAGCGGACAGGAAACTAGCTCAGAAAAAGATGGGGTCAGCCCCAGCTGATCCCGCGAATATGGTATGAGTGTTTCGCAGCTGGTCTGGATGACGCACAATCATCATTCGCATTTCTCGGATTTCTTTGGAGCTACGTCGTGCCGTTGGGGCCACTAGAGTAATTTGGCTGTGTCCGAATTCAGTTTAGAGAAGTGGCTGAGATTGTCAAAGAGAAGCTGCTAGATAGTTGTAATCAAGAGGATTGGTAGAAGCTAGAAGATGTGAAGACAAATATCAGTCGTATCAAGATGCGCAGATTGAGCATCATGTCTTGACAAAGAATGAGAAGCGGTTGGGTGGTAGACTAGCTCTGCACGAACTTATGGACCGCCATGACTTGATCCCAGACGTTGAATGGACACGGAAGAGTTTCTTGTAACGGCCTTCTGTCAATGAGCTTCGGTTGTAGCTATTGAGTGTTTGAACTTTCATTGCACGCACAGCCTGATTGATCGCTTTCGCAAACTCTCGCCCACGAACTCAGCGGTGACCGCCTTCGCAATTCCATCGAGATAGAGATGCGGGAGCTCAACTCTGGCGACGATGTTGTCCATATTCGCGCCATTCTTGTAGTATTCAAACATCTTTGGCCTTCTATCATTCCAGTGGTCTCCACGAACGAGATTGCATGCCCAGCCTCCATTAAAATAACAAACCAGGACGAACGAGTCAAACTCATCGGCCCAGATTGGTGCAAAAGTCATGTATCCAAGGAATGCGCCCGCGTGTCCGGCATACAGGAATGACTGAGAAGGGTCCCAGCAGCCGGCAGGATCTACGGTCCGGAGACCCAGGTCTACCAAAGTAGCAGCTGGTGGGCCCATGA